GATTCTATGAGTGATAGCCGTGTCTATCGTTGTTTTAATTCATTTTTGAAAGTTACGAGACTAGAAGTGAATTCATATTGTCCATTATGGCAGGTTTGATGTGATTCCTGAGTAATTTGGTTACCATTTGTGATTTGATACTCTATCGGGGTGAGAGTTTAGTAAGTGTTGTGATTTTATTGGTAGATTTGAGTTAGTGGAAGATTTCCATTGGTATGATGAGTATTCGACTTGTGATTCAGAGTTGAGGGTGAGACCCTCGCGATTCCATGTGATTTGATATGTTTGAGCCGGGCTGCATGCCGCGGTGGAAGTTATATCAGGATGAGATCCTTGTGATTTGTTCATATACTTTAATTTTCCATTTAAATTGATTTGTAGGATGGTACTCATAGAGAGTTGTGCTTGTTAGGCATTGTTTGATATTTCTCTTATGTGTTCTCTTTACATATCCAGTCATTTTTCGTTCTGTGCTTCTTGAGTTTTAGCTTGCGGGGTGTGTGCCCGGTGGTGTTAGTTGTGACTTGTTGATTCAGGTGTATAGTTAAGAGGTCTTCATGTTTCATGCATCGTTTTCAGTGTTGTGGAGGTTTGAAACAGGGTTCTAACGGATTGAGACTAATTGTCGGTGTTGGTTTTGATTACGGGCAGCTATTGTGATCAGAAATGTTATTATGGCCCTATGTGTGGTGTGTCTTGTTGTGTGGTCGTTCCTTGTAGGTGTAGGCATGAGTTGTTACAGCTGGTTGAGACTGATACCGGTTATGGATTTAGAATCGGGTCTTTTGAAGATAAATGGAAGGTGAGAATTTTGACTATAAGGCTTATCGATATTGGTAGAAAAGATAAATTACAGTTGAGATGGTGTCGTCAGGATTATGTGGATTGGGGTGACGTGGGGTCACCCACGAGTGTATGTTGGGTATGTACTTGCAGTGATTTAATGACTTCGAGGCGATTCTTAGCACGTTCGAGGACGAACGTTTGTTTAAGAGGGGAATGATGTAACGAACCGGCCGGTCATTTTGAGAATTCAAGTCCCGTTCGACGACATAAGGCCCTGAACAGCTTCGTATTATGTGTATTGACTTGCGTGCGTGGTTGAATTCAGTTATCGGATAATTCAGAGTGATTTGGGACTCTTGGTACCTAAAACGGAAGATTAAGTCTTAGGATTTTGACCATAGTCAGAACTAAGTGAAGACGACTCCGAAATGGAGTTTCGTCAGTTCTGCTAGCTCCGTTGGGTGATTTTGGACTTAGGGGCGTGTCCAGATTGTGGTTTGGAGGTTTGTAACTCATTTAGGCTTGAAATGGCGAAAGTCGAATTTTTGGAGATTTTGACCGGAAGTGGACTTTTTGATATCGGGGTCGAAATGTGATTCCAAGGGTTGGAACAACTCTGTTATGTTATTTGGGACTTGCCTGCAAAATTTGATGTCATTCCGGGTTGGTTTGATAGGTTTCGACACGAGTGTTCGAAGTTGGAACTTTTGGAAGTTCATAAGTTCGATTCATGGTGCGATTCGTAGTTTTGACATTGTTTGATGTTATTTGAGACCTCGAGCGAGTCCGTTTTAGGTTATGGAACTTATGTGTGTGTTTAGACGGGGTCCCGGGGGCCTCGGGTGTATTCCGGATGGGTTACGGGTCATTTTCCCCTATTTTTGAACTGCTGGTTCTGGTGTCTGTTGTCCTTCTTCGCGACTACGAAGCTCCTTTCACGTTCGTGAAGTGTCTCTGCTGACCGCCTCAATTTCCTTCTTTGTGTTCGCGTAATTCCATTCGCGATCGCGAAAGTCTGCTTTTCCCTTCTTCGCGTTTGCACCCGTCTCTTTGCGTTCGCGTAGCTCAGTTTCTGGGCCATCAATTTCCTTATTCGCGATCGCATATGTTTGTTCATGATCGCGTAGCACTAATTCGGGCAGTAATTATTTTCTTCTCCGCGTTCGCGAGCTTGTCTTCGCGTTCGCGAAGTACAACTGGGCAGCTTCCATTTTTCTTCTTCGCGAACGCGAGCCTTTCTCCGTGTTCGCGATGCTTTCAGACCTGGGCAGAATATAAATTTTCCAAATCGAGGGTTAGGCCATTTTCATAATATTTTGACTTGTAGAGCTCGGTTTTGAGCGATTCTTTGTGGGTTTTTCAAGCAAATCCATTGGGTAAGTATTCTTCACCTAGATTTTATTATATTCCATGATTTTATCTTTATTTTTTCATTTAATTTGTGTTTTGAGTTGAGGAAAATGGAGGTTTTTGAAGAAAGTTTCAAAATGAAAAATCATGTTTTAAGGGACGAATTGGTATCGAATTTGATAGTTTTAGTATGGTTGAACTCGTATCGGAACGGGTATTCGGGTTTTGTGAAATTTGTCGGGTTCCGAGGTGCGGGCCCGGGGGTCGACTTTTGGACCAATTTTTAGATTTTGATAAAGATTGAGGCTTTATGGTCCGGAATAATTTCTTATGAGTTTTATTTATGCTTTGAAGTTATTTATGTTAGATTTGTTAGATTTGAGCCGCCCGGATGTCATTGCTCCCGAGAAGTTCATTTTTGAGTATCGGTCTGTCTTCTTTGAGATAAGTATCTTGCCTAACCTTGTGTGGGGGATTTCCCTTTAGGATTTGAGTCTTCTATGTTGATTGTAGTCCATGTACGCGAAATGACGAGTGCGTGCTCGGACTTATTTGTGGAAAATTGGCCTTTTAGGGTCTTAGGTCCTTATATTCACTGAGTATGATGTTGTTCTTGATATGATTAAGTTCCTATTTACTAATTTCACCTCTACATGCTTTAATTTGAATTAATTGCTTCAGAATTCACTCTTATTGCCTATTTGACTCTTATTTGGCTTAACTGAAGATTTTACCTCTTCTATTGTCATGCTATCTTTTCATAACTGCTTATCTTTATTTGAAATTATTATTATCTTATCCTATAATTGTTCAGTCTTAATTGAGGTTATAATTATCTTTACGCTGTTTATCCTTAATTGAATTGTTGATTATCCTTCGTAATTTCTTAACCTTAAAAGAAGTTTAGATATCCTATATCTTAGCCGACTTGTTTTGTTTGGAATTATTTGACTCGTGTTAGCTTCCCTGTTGTTGAAATGTATATTATGGGATCATTGCTACATATTAGTTTTCCCTTGCTGAGCTATTCTCTTTACACCTAGCATTCTTTACTGTGGTTATTCCTTGTGAATTGGTTCTACCGTTTCTTGTGATTTAAAGTTCTTGAGTTGATTTACTTGTCGTACTTTGTATTATTGCCATTGTTGTGGTGATGCACAAGGTTTCTGCCGTGCGGTTGTTGTCNTTTATTATTGCACACGTGACGAGACAAGGTGGGTTGTGTCAGGGATTGATTTGTGATGATTTGTAATGGCCTAGGGGCATTCTTGTTGTTGATATTTGTGTAGCGGTACACTTACCTGTGTGAGTTTTATCTTGTGAAAGTTGTGAGAAAAATATTCTATGTGTTGTCCGTTCTTTTTCCTTATGCTTATTTGCTAGTATGGACTATGTTAGGACACTTGCACAAGCATACACGTAGTTAAGCACTCTTATCGGATAAGAGGTGTTCTTGATATTGTTGAACATATATGCTCACCCTTGTTTACTTGCCTTCTATGTGAGAATGGCTCTATTGGCACGTGAGTCGTCAGTGCGGTTATGAGGTGTTATGAGGGCACAGGATGCCAAGTGTTAGGGTTCTGGTATTGTAACCCGTGAGTTGTGATTTTGTCCGAGGTTTGGTACCTCGTGGAGTTTGTTGACTAAAACCTGATGTAAAAGCGGTTGTAGTTGCTGAGTTATTACTTGTCCTTACTGTATTTGTGATTCCGGATTTAGGTTGTGTTCCATTCAATTTTCTGTGTCATTTTTATGGTATTCCACTGATACTTGTTGTTTTCTTTCTTATTGCCATTACTGTATTGAGAGCCATATTGCATAGTCTTTCTGTAGATATCATATTTCTGCTGTTCATATACTTATACTTTTTCAGTTTATTAGACCAGTGGGTGTCTTGACTTTTTCTCGTCACTACTCCACTGAGGTTAGTCTTGATACTTACTGGGCACCGCTGTGGTGTGCTCATTCTATACTTCTGCATATTTTTGTGCAAATCCAGGTATTTGTTCGTTAACTAGCTGTGTGGACTGTTGCCGTGGAGACTCAAGGTAAACCTGATGCTGCGTTCGCAAGCTTCAGAGTCACCTTCAAGTTTTCGTTTTGCACTGTTTATTCTTATTTCTGGACAATTATATTGGGAAGTGTTCTAGCAAACACTCTGTAGAGCTTATGACTTGTACTACCGATTTTGGGAATTTTAAATTTTAAGAGATTTCTATTTCAAATTGTTATATGTTATTTAAATAATGTTGTTGTTTCAATTAATGTCAGGCTTACCTAGTCCCTAAGACTAGGTTCCATCACGATACACAACGGAGGGGAAATTGGGTCGTGACAATAGTGTTGCAAGGCAAAACACCATTTGAATTGTTATATGGGAGACCACCTAAATTGGATCATCTTAGAGTATTTGGTTGTCTCTGTTATGCAAGTAGGCCACCTAAAGGTGACAAATTTGCAGCAAGAGCCAGGAAGACAGTGTTTGTGGGATACTCTAAAACACAGAAGGGATAAAAATTTATGACCTTGATGATCATTAATTTTTTGTTAGCGGGGATGTACAATTCAGGGAGTCAATATTTCCTTTCAGAACTGAAGCACAAGAGGAAGCACCAGATATTTTCCTATTCAGAGAACCAGTGAATACATGAATAGATTCAACATATGCAGAATGTCCTCATGCTGAAAATCATATTACACAAGAGATGACACATACAAAAGTTACACCTCTTACACCCCTAACCACAATGTTAGACACAAGTGACTCAATTGTTGATTCACAAGAACTTTGTGATACAACACCAGACACAGGAGAACAAGAAGATCTAATGCAATCAGATGAAGCTCCTCCAACTGCATCATTTGATCAGAATGCAGTTCAACAACTTGATCATAGAGAAATTCAACAATATGAACAGGCAGTAGAAGAAGACCAAGATAATACATTACATAATCATGTACAGAAGAGCACACAGGCAACACCAAGTAGAGTAGCCAGACCACCAATTTGGCTCAGTGACTATGTTACTTCTATCAAGCCAAGAGCACATAGCTCATATTTCATTTCACAATATGTTGCCTATTCTCATCTCAGTTCCAGTTATCAAGATTATTTGGGTTCTTTTTTGGTGCCAACATAACCTAGATCCTTTAAGGAGGCCTTCACAGATCCTAAATGGATTCAAGCAATGTAATAAGAGGTGGATGCATTGGAAGGCAACGAGACTTGGGTATGGTTACTATCCAAACAGTAATCAGTATAGCAGCTTCAAGGAATTGGTTCTTGTACCAACTGGGTGTCAATAATGCTTTTCTTCAAAGAGATTTATATGAAGATGTCTATATAGACTTACCACAAGGCTTCCATAGACATGGGGAGTATAGGGTCTGTAAATTGCTGAAGTCCCTATATGAGCTCAAGCAGGCATCAAGGCAATGTAACATCAAACTAACTACTGTTCTATTGGAAGCTGGATACTGTCAAAGTCCACATGACCATTCTCTATTCACCAAGTAGAAGGGAGACTGTATTGTGATCATCATGATCTATGTGGATGATATCCTCATCATTGGGAGTACCAAGGACTTATTGATGAGGCAAAGAAGACTCTATACAATAATTTCAAAGTAAAGGATTTACATGAGCTCAAATATTTCTTGGGAATTGAAGTGCTTAAATCACAGAAAGGGGTACTACTCAATCAGAGGAAGTATGCCTTAGAGTTAGTGTCAGATGTAGGATTAAGTGGTGCAAAGACGGTCTCCACACCACTTGAAACCAACATCAAACTGACCACTGCAGAATATGACAAGCTGATAGGATATACAGATGACCCTCAATTGGAATACATAAGCAGCTATAAAAAATTGGTGGGAAAATATCACAAGGCCAGATATCTGCTTCACAGTCCATGTTCTTGGCCAAAACATGCAACAACCAAAGAGGTCTCACTAGGATGCTGCATTAAGAGTGATCAAGTATATTAAATGATGTCCTGGTTTAGGGATATTCTTATCTAAGAACTCCACAACTAACTTGACTGCATTTTGTGATGCTGACTGGGCTGCATGCCCTAACACTAGGCACTCAATCACAGGATATGCCATCAAATTAGATGACTCCTTGATATCCTGGAAGTCGAAGAAATAATATACTGTCAGTAGAAGCCAAGCAGAAGTTGAGAATCGAAGCATGGCAGCTTGTGTAGCAGAAATTGTATGACTGATTGTTCAGTCACAAGCCCTAGGAGTGTCCATTTCTAGACCGGTTTCACTTCATTATAATAGTAAAGTTGCCATCCAAATTGCTGCAAATCCCACATTTCATGAAAGGACAAAGCATATTGACATTGATTGTCATTTTGTACGTGAGAAAGTGAAGGAAGGAATGATTCAAACCACTTATCTTGCTACCTAGTCTCAGACTGCAGACCTGTTAACCAAAGGGTTGGGTGTAAGCCAACATCATCTTCTTCTTTCCAAGCTAGGGGTGCTCGATATCTTCCACCCTCGAGCTTGAGAAGGAGTATTGGAATATGAAAGCAGTTGTATAATTATTAGCCGGTAGTTAGAAGTAGTTAGCTGTTAATGAGCTGTCAATTAGCTGTTAATAGTCAGTTAACAGAGTTAGTTAAAGTCACGTGAGAAGCATGTGAGAGAGAAGAGCTACCAGCTATATAAACATGTACATGTAATCATTTCTATTTGAGCTAACATAGTTTCTTCCGTCTCATCCTTCTGTTCTCTCCACAAATTGATCTAAATCCCTAATTACAGTAGATAAATTTCACAGTTCATACAATCTGTATTTATTTATGAGCTTCTTATTTTCTTTATTGCAAACGAAGTGAACACTATTAATGAGGTAATTAATTATATTGCATGCTTCTCTCACGAATTGTTAGAGAAGATCAAGGGGAACAAAAGACATAAGTAAGATATATGTATAGAGGATACAAACCTTAGCAAGGTAGATTGCTAGCCATCCAGCAGAGCATATTACAGATGATAGCCTCATGGCCTGATCAAGATTCAAAGTAAAACAATTCAAGATAAGGCAGGATAGTGATAATACCCAGATTACTTTTATCTCGTTCGAATAAAGTATAAACATTAATTATTTTAATAATAATAACACAGAATCTAATAGAACACCTCTAATCGTGTTGAGTTTTTTTCTGGTGAACTTTCCTCTAATACAGTAGATCCAGATGGTTGGCACATGTACAACAAAAGTCTTGACGGTCTAGATTTATTTCAAATTAAATAACAACCTAACTCAAGTATAATTAGTTAATTCCTTCGTCCCAATTTGTTTGGTACAATTCGAATTTCGAGAATCAAGCTTTTCAATTTTGATCGTGCATTCGGACGTACAATCTTTAAGTTTTGTGAAATAAAATTTACATATTTAGAAAAAAGAAAAACTCGCTTGACTCTAGAAGTTCAAACTTTATCAAACTAATTGGGATAGAGGGAGTATTAGTTTCTCCATCCCAAATTACGTTGTGGTGTTTCATTGGACATGAAATATAAGGGAAAAGAAACTTTTAAAGCTTGTGGCCTAAAATAAGTTATAGATATTTGTTTGACTATAAATTATTTCATTAAGGATAAAATAAGAAGTTTATAGTTAAATTACTTGTAAATGTAAATATATGATATTCTTTTTGTGACAGACTAAAAAGGACATCACATAAATTGGAATAGAGAGGAACATTTAGGTTAAAGCAAAGCTATACAATCAACAATTAATATTGTAGTTAATCATCTAACACCCTAACAAGAGGGAAGTTCAATATGGAGTCTATGAACCCCTTCAGTACATATATTAGTACTATTGCAATACAAATTCTTAAAGCACTTACTCCTTTGCGGCCTAGAAGATCTGCAATCCGTCCCGCAGTGATTGCACCAAGCATTGCACCAATTGTTAATATTGACCCAAATACTGAATACTGCATTGACAAAACTTTAGATGAAGAAAGATAACATTTATTATATGCAAATTCACCACTTGTCTTAATTTATTTTAAAGCTTCTAAGAAACTAGAGACAGAAACACACTTTCCCTACTGCACATAGCAATCTCAAAAAGAAAGTCGGTCTGATGAAATGAAGCAGCTGCAGAAGGCGGATCTATTCAAACAAAGTACTAGCAGGTCCCAAGGAATCGACTAAACAATACGAACCCAACAGCCGAGTAAGTTTCCGAATACACTCATGCTTCAATAATAGCACCAAGAATGACATGAAATTGTATTTACCCAAAAAATGCATATAGTTGAATTTGTATATAACTTGACACAAATCGTAAAGAAAGTGGAAAAATTGAATATTGACTATAAGAAAAGATACAAACCGAGTTGAAAGAAAGATAATTTATGAACAAGCAAAATGAAATTATGTATGAAGTTAAAAAAGGATAATCTCTCAATATGAGAATGTCTCAATAATATTTGAGTTGCAGTGTATTCATAACATGGTCTTTACAGAAATAATAGACATCCCTCTTATAGTGGAGGGATCCTACTTTAAATATCATAAAAAATACATAGTAAAAAACATATGATAAATCAGCTTTTCCCTAATTTCCGCAGATTCTCTCTCTTAGTGCGGGTTTAACGGCTCTTGTCTTTTGGCTCGATCTTAATTGGACTCGTTATTGGTCGGTTTCCAGGCTTAGAGCTCGATGTGGGCTTGAGCTCGATCCGACTTGGGGCCCGGTATTGGTTCGGGCTCGGTGTTGGTTGATCTCTAGCTCTTAAGCTTGATACCATCGCTTCTCATCATAGCTCGATTTGGACTCGAGCTCGATAATGATGTCGAGCTCGGTATTTAATCGGACCCCGAAATTCGAAGCTCGTTCGTGCCTTCTTCAAATCTCACCTCGATATTATGAAGACGCTCTTCGATCCGTCTTCACCAATCGTACGAAGGTCGAAAACGGTTTTGACCATATACAGATAGTCCCCTCGTTTCTCGGGAAGGATGTGGCGAGAAACGATATGATTTCTCAACGGATCGATTTGATATACACTGACGTTTGCATCGAGCCCGACCATGACGTACGTGATAGCTGTCCTGTCGGTTTAGTTTACCAAGGCATTAAATGCGTGTCAGGCGGTGGTCGGCCACTGCTGATATTGAACCGTCGTTGCTCAATCTATAAATAGCGCCTTTTTTTTTTTACCATTTACCACTTTTACGTCTCCAACTTCCAAAATTTTCTAAGCTCTTTCTCGTATGTTCTGGGTTCATCTTTAAGTCTGTGATTTTTCTGCAAATACCTTTCTTCTGTGATTTTCACTGCAAAATCTTTCTTCAAAACACCACATCTTTGTCATCTCCTTCTATTTTCCATCTCTAAATCAAAAATGGCGAAAACAACTAAAATCGTTCCTCAAAAAGAAAAAGCTGCTTCTTCACAGTCTGCCGTCGACAAAACACCGGTGGAGCCATGGCCTGAGGAGTGTGTTCCCGGGGCGTGTGTTCATACCTCCGATTTTAAGATTGACAAAGGCTCGTCGGTTCCCGGTCGATGCGAGCCAGTATCGAGGTATATGTGCTCGATAACCGAGGGGCATCTCGAACAGATAAGAAGAGATTATGACTGGGAGAACAAAGAAGTGGTAATCCCGGCTCCCGAGGAAGATATTACTACCCATGTGAAAGGGTTTTTAAGTGTGTATACCTACCCTTTCACGTTATGCCCCTTCGACCCTATTGTCGACAATTTTTGCCGTCAATACCGAATAACCTAGGCCAAATCCATCCTTCTTTTTGGCAGATTATTATTCTGATCCGCTTCTTTGTGAACAAAATCGAGGGGATGCCTTTCACCCTCGACCATCTTATTAGATTGTATAACCCCCGCCTCTTTCGAGGTGGGATAATAGAACTCCAGCGCCGGGCTACCAAGGTGCTATTCTCGAGCATCGATGAGGACAAGGATCGAGACTGGATGGGCTGGTTTGTTTGAGTGAAGACTTCAGACCTAATTCCGGCCGAGAAGATGCCATTTCCCGAGGAATAGTACATGAAGCGTAAGTATACTTCTTCTGTTATCTCCTGTTGTTTTGCCCCTTCATTTCTTTCTCACCGATATCCCCTTTTATGATGCAGCGGTTCCTTGGATGCCTGGTGCAATTCCTAACCTTAAGAGCTGGGTACAAAATCATGTGATGCAGCGCTCGTGGCGTGATTTATCAAAGGGTCGATGGGAGGCCAAAAATCATGGTAAGCTTTTTTCTCAAGTCTTTGATAGTCCGACCGAAATGTTTTTCATATGATGCCAAATTGTGTTATGTGTAGGCCTGGGAAAAGATGCGGTTTTGAGGCCCCCGTCTGGTGAGGAAGAGACGCCGGACCTGGTCCCAAAACCGTCGAAGGACCATAAGAGGAAAAGGGCCTCTACTTCCGAGGATCCACAACCTAAGACAAGGGCGGATCGTAAGCCGAGGAAGAATACCATCCTTTTGACCGAAGAGTCAGTTCGGTGTCTAAGGGATGGAGAAGAAGAAGAAAATGACGGCTCTATTCTGGTAGCCCGAGCGAAGAAAACCATCGATGCCCCAAAGGCAGCTGGATCGATGGTGGTTTATGAAGCTCCGCCTCGAACTGGGGGAATATCGGAGAAAGATTCTGGAAGAGTCCCCGAATCGTTAGGGGTAGAGGATGCCTCTCACCTAAGTCAACAAATGGTGGGTATATCTGAAAGGTCTGGCCCTGAATATCTCTGAACCGAAGAGAACTCCCCAAGCGACTCGCTTGGGGCAACAGTAATCAGAGATTCGCCTACTCTCCCCGCTTTTTTCGAAGGGGCGATTCGGGAAGCCCAAGCTTTGGGGACCCTCGAGGTAGGCCGAATTCACAAAGGAGAGAATTCACAAAGTCAACTTCTAATTCTAACCTATAAATATATGTTATAACTCATTTTCCAAGAGAGAGTAGCAGGCTATCAGATAACACATTAACATCTAAACGAGAGGGAGAATAAGATAGAACTTGACAACAAACGAGAAGTTGTTAGGTCTTGATGACTAATAATAACTTTAGAGAATTCGTGATAACATATATTAGCCAGCCATAATTAACAGGATTCATGATCTAGATTATCCTTTAATTATTGCAAGTCGCTACTTAGTAATTAGTCTCCAATAATAACAATCAACCTTTGCTCTATTTTGATTTTAGGTTAATATAGCAAAAATTGTGATTGTGATTCTTGCTTTCTATGGTTTGACGCTTAAGAGTACTTTCAATAGTTATAATTTAACTAGCCTCATTTCCTAATGGATCAAATTTAGATTCTATACGGTATAATAGTGGGACAAATTTAGCGGAGGTCATGCATTATTCGTTAATCCGTTGTATGACCACTTGAGAATCTTATTCTTGTTAGTTTAATATTATAAGCATACTTTACATACTAGTTTAACATTATAGCCTCATAAATATTGTTTTAATGGTTGAACTACTTTAGTCATACACTGTGATTATGCACACTAATTTGCATATGTATTTCTCATTGCCCGTATAAAATGGTATTGGAGATACATTGATTTGTCTCTGGACTATTGAGGGTATGTTAATTCATATTTGGTTGTCTGTTGCAAGTATGTGGATTCATATCCGATTTGAGGTATCAATTAAGGCATGTAGACTCATGTCTTGTCACGTATGGATATAGATCTGTCCATCATAAGTCATTATTACCTAATTACCGGAGGCAGCCTGTGTGTAGGTTTGATATATGATACCATCAATTTATGAGTAAATATTGAATCTTTACTATATTTATTGATTCTTGATATATGTTTCATGTATTCCTATTAATGATGTACTTATGCATATTTTATTTATGCATTGTCTATGCCCATTGACTAAGTTAACTCATAAGGATGTACAGTCTAGATGGTCTAATGAGTGAAAGGAAAGCTTTCAGAAGCTCAAGACTGCATTGATTGTCACACCAATTTTGACTCTACCAACGGGTTCTAGAGTAACACAGTGTATTTAAAAGCTACTCGTATTGGGCTTCGGTGTCTGTTGATGCATGATAGTAGGGAGATTGTGTATGCTTCATGAAAGTTGAAAAATTACAAGAAGAATTATCCTACGTGCGATAAGGAGTGGATCGACGATTGTATTTGCACTTAAGATTTAGAGGCCTTGAGACATTACATATTGTTTGAGCTGCTCAAATATTATGACATCACTAAAATTTATCATTCGGGAAAGGCTAATACTATAGCGGATGCTTTAAGTGGGAAGTTTGAGAGTACATGCAGCTTGATATAATGACTCAACCAATTGTTTTGAGTTCTAGTATCATATTCTGTGATTTGAGACCTTGAAGTAGGTTTATAAGATATTTTATGACTTGCGAGTATGGATGATTTGAATTCCAAAGGTTTCGGGAAGGATTTGGAATACTACCTTACTGTTTGATTATGGTTAAAGATTAAATTAGCAACCTTACCCTTAAGTTTAATATATGCGCTTGAATTCATGGTTTGAAACTTCAAGCAAGTCTATATGATATTTTTAGACTTCTACGTATGTTTGGATTAGGATTCAAGGGGCTCGAGAGTATTTTAGCAATATTATATGGAAGTTGAAACTTTAAGGATTCTTAAGTTTGACTTGAGTTGTCATTTTGGATTGTACCACTTCACTTCATGTTTTGAGCCTTTGGATAAGTTTGTAATTTGAGAGAGGTTCTTGCATGAAAACTAACAAAAAACTTGCACCAGATGTGCTGATCAATGGTGCTCACATCGAGCATGCAATACATTCGCCTTCAAACCTATAATTTTGCACTTTCTATAAATAATCCCATTTCATACCTTAATTTTATTTTATCATTTTGAGAGTTAGCGAGTTTGGATTGAGGTAATTTTTAAAGCGATTTTCACCGAAGAATATAGGGTAAGTGATACCCACTCATATCTAT